ATCAACCATCCATCCACCCATCATCCATCCACCCATCCATCCATCCATCCATCCACCCATCCATCCATCACCCATCCACCCACCCACCCATCCATCCATCACCCATCCACCCATCCATCATCCACCCATCCATCCATCCATCCACCCATCATCCATCCATCCACCCATCCATCCACCCATCCACCCATCATCCACCCATCCACCCATCCACCCCAACACTACAGAAGGGCCCTTGGGAGGTGTTGGTCACACACTTGTTCAAATGGGTCACTTCAGTCTTGGACTCTGTCATCCTAAGGCACAGCCAGCACTGGTGGCAGCAAAGCTGTGTGAGGCTCTCAGAGGTAAGAACAGGGGAAGGACTCCTGCTTGAGGCTCCCAGCCCTGCCCTTTTAAGCCTCATGACCCCTCAATCTGCTCTAGGACCCGTGGGCAGCCTTGGAGATGCCTCTTTGTCCTACCTTGTTGGCCAGGTGTGTGTCTGGGGTCCCGTCAACAAGGATTTCTCTGAGCCCTTGTCCCCATGTCGGAGCCCTCATGGCAGACACCAGGCCAGCCCCTGCACGGCAGCGGTGAGCATGCAGGGACACGTGGCTATCGACGTGAGCCCTGGCCCCATCCGGCCCATCCACCTTATTTCCGACTACTTTCCACATTTCTATCCATTCTTCGGGCCAGAGTTGCACGCTCCAGACTCGAGCGCTGCACTGGCCCCTGCCATCCGCTCTGCACCCCAGCTGCAGCCTGACCCAGAGCCAAGAGGGAGACTCAGATGATAGCAGTGAGTGGTGGAGGGGATACGAGGACGCTCCCCAGAACGGGGTCTGGGGTGTCCCTAGCAGTGACGGCAGAGGGGCCAGGCAAGTGGCCTTGTGCCATGGGGGACAGGTGGGTAGAGGAAGGCACTGATCCTGCCTGCCACCTGCCACTTTAGCTGCCCTGGGCACCCTGGAGTTCACACTTGTCTTTGATGCGGACAACAGTGCCCTGCATTGCACAGCCCATCGTGCTAAGGTGAGAATGGAGGCAGAGTTCCTGGGAAGGGACAAAGCCACAGGGCTCCTTACATCCCTTGTCTGTTCCCAGGGCCTCAAGCCAGCCACCCACCTCAGGCTCTCTGGACACCTATGTCAAAGCTAACTTGCTGCCAGGGGCCAGCAAGGTGAGGTCAAAACCCAGGTTCCTATTGTACCCTTAGATGGCAGGACCAGCAAGTGCCCAGTGGCCTTGCTTCACTCCTACCCCAAAGGCTGAATCTCAGTTGCTGGAATTAAGGAGGCAAGGTAGGGGGGCCAGGGTGGATATCTGACCCACCTACCTGGTCCCCGGGCTAGCCAGCTTCAGACTCGAACTGTTCGTGGAACAAGGGGACCTGTCTGGGAGGAGACACACACCTATCATGGCTTCACTCGCCAGGATGCTGGACGAAAGACCTTACGGAGAGGACCCAGCTCAGGCCACCAGGGGGCAGGGCTAGGGGATGGGGCCCCTATGACCAGGTCTGACCTGGGTGACCATCAGGCTATGTGTATGTGAGGACTCACGACTACGGCGCCAGCATCGGGCACCCTCCTTGGGGGAGCTGCCGGTGCCCCTGAGGAAACTGGTACCCAACCGAGCCAGGAGCTTTGATGTCTGTCTGGAGAAGCAGAGGCTGGTGAGTGGTTGTGGAGCTCCCAGGGCCGGGGGGCGGCGGGATGATGACATGACTGCAGGGCCAGGAGTCTTGTGACGAGGGCAGTGGACCTGGGAGACATCCACTGAGGTGCCCAGGTGCTCTTCTTTTTCAGACCAAGAGGCCCAAGAGCCTGGATACAGCCTGTGGTATGTCTCTATATGAGGAGGTGGGTAAGGACAGTTTGACTGAGCAGGGATGGGGACAGGTTGGAGGGATGTAGGTGAGCTGAACATGGGCTCTGGTCCTGGGGTCTTGAAGGAATTTGAGGCTCTCTCTCTTGTAAACTCTATGAACCCTTGAAGCCCTTGGAAACTGCCAGGACCCCAGTGGCTGGGCAGGGCAAGGCTGACTCCCTTGCCAGGGCAGCTTGGAGGTGGGGACCCTGGGACCCTTAGGGATTCTGTGGGTAGACCTGGTGATGTAGAGGCAGAGGCTGAAAGGTGGTTATTTGTGGCCAGATGGGAGAAAGGATAGGCTTTCAGGATGCTTGCTCCGGGGTTAGTGTAGAGGACACCACTAGGTCTGTCGGGAGGCCGTAAAGGTGCTGACTTCAGCACCTCCTCAGTTCCACCTGGGACCAACTGCGAGCTGAGAAGGGAAGGGCACCCAAGGCTGGGGGTCAGCCCTCCACCTGCCCCTCTGCTGCATGCTCCACCCTACCGGAGTGACAAGCTGCTGCAGCTTTGGATTAGCTGAGCCCAGGTCTGTGGGCCCCACTGAGGGTGTCCACATCACGGAATACCAAGTTGTAACTTTTGATACAACTTTTCTGGGTATTTTGATCTCAGCTATGCACAGTAGCACCCTGGCGCAGGGAGGCTGCTGGAGGAGCACTCCTGTGGTGCTGACAACTGCCAGCGATCAGGTAGTTTAGATCTCTGAAGTCACTTCTACTCCAGTGACAGCAGAGGCGGCTCACTTTTCCCGGCCATCCTCCCAGATGGGGGGCCCCATGGTCCAAAAGTGTGGCAAAGGACATTGATAGCCTGGTCAGCCAGGCAGAGGCATGCAGGTGGGTTTTAGAGTTGGAGAGACCCGTCTCTGAGGGGAGAACAGCTTCCTGGAAGTACTTCTGTGGGGTAGGCTGCCCCTGCAGGGTGGTGGTGACATTTGCTGAAGACCACTTAAGCATCCCCTAGCATGACACTTGAAGATACTCAAGAGACCATGCATGATCCTTTCCTCTCCATGACAAAGACATGCTGAGCAGCAAGCCCCTCCCCTTCCCGGGCCCTGGAGAGTAGGTTATTATGAGGTCTCTTCCAGGGTCTGGGCACGTTTGGGGAAACTGACAAGTCTCGCTCTGTTGCAGCCATTTGTGCTCTCCTGTGGGTCCTGGACCCTGCAGATGGGGGTTCAGGCTGCACGGAGTCTGACCACAGCTTGCCCTTCAGGATGAAGTGGAGGTAGGGGTGGCAGGGGAGGAGCGTGGGCGCATCCTGCTGTCCCTGTGCTACAGCTCCCAGAGAGGTGGTCTGCTGGTGGGTGTGCTGCGCTGTGCCCACCTGGCCCCCGTGGACGCCAACGGCTACTCAGTCCCCTTTGTCCCCCCGTGAGTAGAAATGGTGGCTGACGAGGAAGGAGAGAGAGGGAGAGGGTCCTTGGCTCTCCAAGGTCACCCCTAACCGTTGGCCCATCTCCCCCTCCAGTTTCCTGCATCCAAGCTCTGGGAAGAAGTCTAAATACAAGACCAGTGTTCGAAGGAAGACCCTGAACCCAGAGTTCAATAAGGTGGGTCTGGGCTGGGCAGGTTGCAGTCAAACCTGGTCCTGATTTAACAAACCTGGACCTGAGCTGTTCCCGAGCTGTAAGGATCTGCCTCTTGCTTGCCTTTCCCTGCAGGAATTCTATGCAGGCCTTCGGGAGGAGCTGGCCCAGAAGGCACTGCTGGTGTCCCTGTGGGACTATGACCTAGGCACAGCTGATGACTTCATCGGTGAGCAGGCACACAAGGTGCGGGGGGGAACCTGAGGGCCTCTGCTAGCTACTGACCCATCTCCCAGGCAGGTGGGGTGCAGCTGAGTGGCAGGGCCAGCGGGCAGCGCCTGTACCACTGGCGCGATGCCTGGGCTGCAGTGACCGCAGATTGGAGCTGTGGCACCGCCGGACGGTGTGCCTCCCCAGCTGAGCGACTAGACTAGCGGGTGTAGGCAGTGCGCGCTGAGCCGAGGGGGCGCGGGCTGTGGGGACGCGCCGGCGCCCGAGGCTGCTACCGCTGCTGCCCCAACCCGCCCGGGACAGCAGCCGGAGGCCACAACTCGAGGCCCCGGCGCGTCCCGAGGGCCGCGGCGCCTTTCTGCGCGCTGTGCTGCGGGCGCCTAGCTGCGTCGGCGCGGGCCGGCTGCTCCGAGACCCGCTGCTCCGAGACCCGCTGCTCCGAGACC